TTTGAAAGTAAGTAGAACATACTGAAAACACCAGGTAAACAGTAGTGGAACATAATAGCCATAGCAGTCCTTCTGTGTTGTGGAATATCCTGGAATCTGGTGAGGCAGAGGGGAGACACAGGTGAGGTACTGGGGATTGGGGTGTGGCAAATGGATGGTGCTGAGCTACCTCTGAAGCAGTTGCAGGAGGCCAGCATGGAGAAAGTGGGATGTAGGCAGAATGGGCAGGATCATGCAGGAGCAGGAGAGGTAGAGGCTGGGCTTTGCTCACAGAGGGCCTGGGGCTGATGAAGCCACACCCTGGTCCAAAGCTCCCTCCACCCAGAACAGGGCCTGAGGCGTCCTCACCAGGCAGTGGAACCACAATCCACACTATCTCAAGAGTTCTCTGCTATCTGGCTCTCTGAACGGCAATTAGTCATTTCTCTAGGCAATTTTTTTTTTGGTACGGGAGATTGAACTCAGGAGCTTGCGCTTGCAAGGCAGGCGTAGGAACCATTGAGCTAAATCCCCGGGTCTCTAGGCAGTTTTTGTGAAAGTGCTGGTTTTCTTCATCACGAGGTACAAACAGAATGGACATGAATCTGTTTGGGAGAGTAGGAAGCTCACAGACCTGGGACATGGGTGCAGGAGGGCAGGTAAATTGGGTGGAATAACAGTTAATTATGTAAGCAACAGAGAGCTCAGACCCAAAACTGGGGATGCAGCTCACTGATAAAGCCCTGGGTTTGAACCCTAGCATTGAAGAAAAAACAAAAAAGAGCTCACACCCCGTGGCAGCCCTGGGGTCCGGCTGGGATCTGAGTGCTCTGAGAAGCCCTGCTGGGATTTGTGGACTCTGCCTTTGTGAGTGGGTAACGCTTCTAGCAGCCCTCTTGGCCTTGGCCTGACCTGTATGTCCAGCAAATCTCGAAGACTCCCACATTGGTGAGTAGCTGGATGCTTCTGCTGCCCCCACACCTGGCCTCGGCCCCTGCCATCCAGTTCCTGCTGTGCTACTTGGCCCCCGCAATGTGGTGGACTTGAGTGGGGTCATTTGCCAGTGATGATCAGGAGGGCCGACCCCACCTTGTAAAGGTTACTCTACTGTTTGCCCATTCTGAGCTGATTCACTTGCCCACCTCCTACCCAGTATCTCTGTTTTTCACCTTCAGGGTGAGGCAGACTTCACAGCTGGGAACCAAGCAATGCAGGGAAATGAAAGGGAGGTCCCTTGGTGGGTGAAGCCAGGGTCTGCTATGCAATGGCTCCCCATATGGCAAAGGTGGTAACATCAACAGAACAGTGTGATCTTTTCTAGTCCTGCAGATGTCTCCAGGCCTCCTGAGAACTTTTGATGACCTGAGTCAAAAGGGAGCGACTTTTCTGCATAATGGATTACCCTTTTAACTTCCTACACCTTCCCTCTTTGAAAATGGAAATCCACCACTTGCCATCATCTGACTCCCTTTAAAAATTAGCCATTAAATGCTACAAAACAGTGGATATGATGGGTCCAAATACTGATCAGAGTACATTAGCAACCAAGACCTTCTAAAATGGATTCTTTTTCAAAAACTGCTTCTTTTGGGCTAGGGATTTAGCTTAGTGGTGCTGCTGCCTGCCTTGCATGCACAAGGTCCTGAGTTCAATCCCCGGTATCAAAACAACAACAACAAACTGCTTCTTTTTCTTCAAAAAGCAAAACCACATGGAAGATGACTATCTGGTTGGCCAGTTTACTTTCCTTTACTCCAAATGCCCAGTACCTTGTTGATAGCCAGGTGCTGGGAGTTTCTGTAGCTAGAGGTGAGCCCTCGACAGAACGCAGCAGGTACAGCCAAGAGGTGATGGCCACGGGGTGGGGCTTAGTCTGGGAAGTGGGTGCTGCCCTGGCCTTTGTCCTGGCTTGGGCTTCTGGAGCAGAGGCCCCTTAGGTCTTGCAGAGGCTGTCCACAGAGATTTGAAGGAAAGTGGGAAAATGCTATTGTAAGTGGGAAAGAAGGCCCTTCTATGAGGTGGAAAATTTACCAAAGCAGTCACCTGCTGTGGCACAGGACATACACCCAAACTTCTGGGCTAGGACATGACTCTGCCCATCCATCTCCCTGGAGAATCATCTTCCTGACACCATGAGGAGGACAGGAAAGGATTGGCTCATGAGCCAGGTATCAGCAGTGCTTCCATTCACAGGTCTTGGTGTGGTGAGACTAAGTACTAGAAGTGATGCGAATATTGACTGGCTCTCTCATTAGTGCTCTACAGCAGAGTATCTTTGACACCGTCCCTCCCCACTTATCATGCAAGGCAACTGCTCTTCCACCATCCAAACCTACAAGCCTTCTCTTCCTTCTTCCTCTTTCTTTCCCCACACCTTTCCCTCTCACCTGTGTGTGAACCTTGGCCTTTTCTTCTGTCCACTTATTCCCCATGCTTTGTCCTGATGGACTATCACCAAAGCTCAGGAGCTGAGCTGAAAAGGGAGGAAAGGGGCAGTGAGCACCCATCCTGAGGCTGCTTATGTGAATAAAAGCGCGCCAGCACCTCAGCCTTCAGCCCCAGTCCTCTGGTTCTGTAGCATCTCTTGTGGCCTCCTGAAGAGTGCATTCATCTTCCTGTCCTGCCAGGATGGCCTCCTGATTCTGCTCTCTGCCTGTACTTCAGTCTCTCTCTGACCTGTTAAGAGCTGAAATCACCCAAGCTGAAGCTCTGGGATGAAATCCTGCAGAGCCCTCTTTTTCTTCAGGTGGAGGACAGGCTCCTTGGCAGCTGACCACTGTGCTGTTCAGGATGAGTCTACCATCTCTACCCTGCCTTCTCTCAGTCTGTACATCAGCTAAACCAGGTTCCTTCAGTGTCCAGAATGTTCCTCACCTCCTGGATGCCAGGCTGAAGTGCCTTTCCCTTTGCTTCCATCCTCCTTTCCCCATCTCTCTAAGCCCAGCCCCCTTCACTCCCAGGCTTTGCCGCAGAGATCCTCTCTGGAAAACCTGCTCTCCCTCTGCTGTAGGCTCCTCTTCCCCCACCATCCTCCTACTGTGGGCTCCCCCGTCACCTCCCCATTCCTCAACATACTCACTATGAGCTTTCCTGTTATCCACCCTTCCTTTGTCCTGTGACTTCTTCAGTCTGCCTGGTGGAGCCTGAGTCCACAAACACAGGGCTCAGCCATCTGAAAACCACAGTGTTGATCTTTCCATTGGTCCTCTGGGCAGACAAATAGAGCACCAGAAATACCAGGGCAGTCCCTGTGTTCACCAGGGAAAGTAAACACATCTCTGGGCTGAGTGCTGTTCCCAGGGTCATCTCTCAAGGCTGCTCTGTGCTTCAGATGGGTGTGGGCAGCTGGGCCACAGCCTCTTGCCTCCCATGCAATATGGAAGCTCCTGTGTGTCCTTTTGGCTTTTCCTTTCCATCCTGGTTGCCTTTGCTGCCTTGTGACAGGTAACCAGAAGAAAATCAAAGACAGGAGAGAAAAGGGTGATTTCTCCATCTTTTGGGAATAGCTGGCTGTGGTAGGGAAAGGAAGAAACCCCTGCCCTAGACTTCAGGGAGAAGAGGGCCACAGATGAGCCCAGTGAACCTGGCTGGAACATAAAATTCCCTTCTGTCAGAGACCCCCAAGACAGTTTCCGATCTTTCCTGCTTGGTGGTACAGTGCTAGGCAAGAAGGAAAACTCAAAGACAGAATTAAAGAGAGAAATGGGGAGCCAGGATGGCCAATGCTGAGCAAGCAGCAAAAGACCCTGGCCATCCAAAGCCACTGATATTTATTGGTGACATCATAGGTTAGGGTAAGAGGACTATTTGTGGTTGCTAGGGATACATTGCTGATGCAAGCAAGGCCTATAAGAGAAGAGACAAAGCATTCTTAATTTTGAGAACAGAATTTGGGTGTGAGTCACTCTGACCTTGGGTGCCAAGTTATCTAGTCACATAGGCTTTGGTTGGACTCACTTCTCAAAACAAGCCAGTTGTGGGGTTAACTCTTTACAGCCTGCACTGCCCACAGCCTGCTTTGGGCATAATCAATGGGGCAGTCCCCCACATCCTTGCCCTTCATGCAGCAAAAAGGAGCTACTAGAGGAGAGAAGCAACTAGGGGAGGCAGCTGGGGATGAGGAGCACCTGGGGAGGAAGGGCTGCTAGGAGAGGGGGAGCTGGAGGAGAGTAACAGCTGGGAGAAGGGAAATTATTCATCTTCTAAAACTGAAACCCCTACCCCATTAAACAACTCCATATTTCCTCCTCCCTCAGTTCCTGGAAATCCCCAGTTTACTTTTTGTTTCTATGAGTTTGACTACTTTAGATACCTCACCTAAGTGGCATCATACAGTTCTATGCTTGTCATTCTGGGACAGGCTCATTTCATTTAGCATAATGCCATCAAGGTTCATCTGTGTGACAGGAGTCATATTCCATCATATGAACAGACCATGTTTTACTTATCAACTCATCCACCAGTGGACACTGGGGTTGCTTTTACCTCTTAGCTCTTGGCAGAAATGCTGCTCTGAACACAGATGTACAAAGACTTCTTCAAGACCCTGCTTTTATTTATTTTTCAATATTTCTTGGGAGAAGTTTGTGGGTTCTGGGAGCCTGGGGTTGCCAGGAGCTCACAGTTTATACCCATTATTACCCATATTGTATCAGCTTATGGTTTATATCCACTATTGCCATCATGTGCCTCACCCATGTACAAAATTCTGGGTTTAAAGTCAGGTGCCCTAATTCCTAAAAGGCAAAGAATTAATACAAATTGAACACTCACTATGTGTTGTGCATGAAGTCCCTTCTGGGGACACTGTGTGGAGACAGCTGAACCTTGAGGTCTGGAGCTGGTTCCCTAGCAGACATTGTCAGGGCAGCAGCCTCAGTGTGGGGACCAGTGAGATGTGTGCAGTGCCCCTCACCCCAACACACGAGCCCCTGAACTCCAGGCCCAATCTCTTGGCCGATACACCATTGTGGGCATCCAGCTGAGCACAGTCTGCTCACTCAGGTGTGCTTTCCCTCTAGGTGAGTGAGAAAATGTAGCGGAGCGACAGCCGAGGCGACACCTGCCAGGAGTTTGGTGTGGACACCCCAGCCTAGACGGAGCATCTGCCCCTGGGTGCCCCTTTGGCCACCCAGCCTCACCATGTCAAAGAAGGGCGCAGGCAGCCGGGCCAAGGGGGACAAGGTGGAGGCTCTCGCTGCACTGCAGGCCGCCAATGAGGAGCTGCGAGCCAAGCTCACGGACATCCAGATCGAGCTGCAGCAGGAGAAGAGCAAGGTGGGCCCCCAAGCCTGGACCCCCAGCTTCCCCTTCCCACCTTCCCTACCTTCCCTGGGGCCAAGAGTCTCTGCCTAGAGGGAATGTCACCAGGTCTTACAGAGGTGTTCACGCCCCTTGCCCTGGAGGTCCCCAAAAGTTCTCAGGGTGGCTGGGAACCGACAGTTCCCTCCCCATGGGAGGGGAATGGCAAGCATTGGGAGTTTGAGGGCCTACAAGCAGAAGTGCCACAGTGGTGGTCCCAAACCCAAGGGAGACCCCTGCCACATGGGGTAGCCCTCCCACACAGGTATAAGACACAGGACTTTGGAGGCTTTGTCCATAGCGCGTCCCCGGAACTGACACTGACTTTCCCAGTGTACATAGTGGACTTGAACTGACTAGATGGGCCAGTGTAGCTCCTCTGTATGAATAAAGGAAAAGATGGGTCATGGACTTAGTACTTCTTGGTATGGAGGAATAGCATCTGTGACCATCTTTTGAGATGCTGTAGCAGGACATCCAGTGCTCTGAAGACCTCACAGCCTGTACTGGTGGGTGAGGGGAGCCTCTGGGGGAGAGGGTAATGGGCTTTCTCACTGCCAGGCCTCTGCCTCAGAGTTCCTTCATCCCTGGCATGCCTATTTTCCTCTTCTCCTACCCCACCCAGAAGCCCTTAGAAAGTGCACGTGAGCGTCCAAGAAGTGGAAGGCAGAGAAAAAGATCTGGAGAAAGAGCAGCTTCAGGAAGAGGGTGGATAACACAGAATAGTTGTCTGTCTCTCCTGGAGGGTAGGAAGCTCATGGGTTGTAGGTGGGTGGCATTCCATCATGGGCTGTAATTCTCTCCTCTCTTTCCTGCTCAGCAAAAGTGTCTGTCATGCAGTCCACATGGGGAAGTTGGGTTATTCTGGGCCAGCTGCTTGTCCTCTGAATGACCCAACCTTCTGTTTTTGACTTCCTGGTTGCATCAAAAGAAGAGTTATGTTTTGTGGTATGTGATAATTACGTGGAATTCAGGTTTCAGTGTTGATAAGTGAAGTTGTATTAGAACACATCTTTGGCCACTCTTTATGTAATGTCTGTGGAGTAGACTTGAGAAGCCTCACATATTTACCATCTGGCCCCTCACAGAGGAAGCTTACTGGCCTTTCCCTAGTCCCAACTGTTCTCGCCTGCAAAATGGGACAAGACCGGCACCCACTGCCAAGTGGTACTGAGGAAAAAGTACTGCAAGGCTCTGGGGGTGTGGCCTGCTCCCAGATACTAGAGGTGGTGGGCATGGTGATGTGCATCTCCTGTGGCCTTGGGGGCTGCTCTTACTCTCTGGAGGAAATGCTCATCTAGCACCTGCTCTGTGGCAGGAGTCCATACAACCACAAGCAACAGCTCCCCAAAGACCCAGACTCATTGTCTGGCTGAGCATGAGGTTAAAGTGCAAATGTCACCTGCCCTAAATTGGGGAGTTTCCCCAGGGGGACAAATCTCACATTGCCACACAGTGTGACACATGCAAAGCCACAGACATTTTGCTTGCCCTCTTGTCAACCCCATTTTGTAGATGCAAAAAGAAAAAAAACAAAGTGACTTGTGAAGAACCCTATGGTAATTAAATCCTCTGCTTTATTGGGTGTGTTGGTCAGTGGTTTGTCACTGTGACAAAGTACCTAGGATAAACAATTTAAGGAGGAAAGGTTTATTTTGGCTCAGAGCTTTCAATCTATAGCCACTTGGCTCTGTTGCTTCTGGATCCAGAACATCATGGCAGGGAATATGTGGTGGAACAAAGCAGCTTATTAATTAAGTCTATGGATTTCTTAAGTTAAATGTGTTTCTTGTATGCATCATATTGTTGGATTTTGTTTCTTGATCAATTATACCATTTTGTTTCTTTTGATTGGTGAATTGAGACCATTTACATTAATGGTTATAACTGATATGTATTGACTTATCCTTGTCATGTTATTTTTCTGTTGTTTGTTCCTTTTCTTTCCCCTCTGTTTAAATACTTGTCCTGCCCAGTGGATTCACTATTTTGGAATTTATGGAGTTATAGTCTTGGCTGTTGCTTTCTAGAATGTCCTTCAGAACATTTTGGAGTGCTGCTTTGGTGGTCATGAATTTCTTCAGGTGTTGTTTGTCATAGAAGTATCTTATTTCTCCATCAGTTTTAAAAGATAGTTATGGAGGGTGTATCAATCTGAGTTGGAGGTTGTTTGCTTTTGGGGCTTGAAATTCCACTCCAAGCTCTCCTTGACTTGAAGGTTTGTGTTGAGATCCCTTGCTGTAATTCTGATGGGCTTTCCTTTGTAAGTGATTTGTTTCTTTTCTTTAACAGCTTTTAATATTCTGTTCTTCTGTTGAATTTCTGGAAACTTGACTATTACATGCCTTTGGATAGATTTTTTATCATGGCTAATTCAAATTTTATATGCCTCACTTACCTGTAGGTCAAATTCTTTTTTCATATGAACAAGATTTGTAGTTATATAACAAAATCTAAAACAAACTAGAAAACTTTATAGAGCAAATATCCTCTCAATATGGTTTTTTTACTCTCAGGGGAGAAAGTTTAAAAGGGGTTGGGGAAAAAATTGAGAAATAGAAGCAAGGTGAGAGGACAAAGGAAGATTACACATGCTTTGGGAACTGGTAAAGAAGGCAGCAGGCAAAGAAGGACGGAAGGAGCAGAAACAAGAACAGAACAAAACAACAACAAAACTAGAAACTGTTCACACTTGCATAAGAACAAGAACAATCAAGAAAAAGAGAAAAAATAGAAATGAAATATAAAAAATAAAAAGGAGAGAAAGGAAGAAAATCAGAAAACACCACTTCAGGGTATGTCTCTTCTGTCACTAGTTGACCGAGGGGCAGACAGAGCCCAGATCTGTGTTGATTGATCCTAGCAAGTCATCAGTAGAATTATGCTCTTGGTGGATAATCCCGGCAAACCTGAGTCTTTAGCTCCTCTGAAGTTCAGGCTGCTTCTGGTTTCTGGCTATGAGTCTGAGACCTGAGTTTTTTAGCCCACAACAGTCAGAGTGTTTCCTGCCAGCTTGAACTTGGCTCCCTGGTGGTTTAAACTTGACTCCCTGACCTGCCAGCTTGAATTAGGTTGCACCTCACCCTGACACTTAGAGCCACTGGGTGGAGCCAGCCAACAACTGCTCTGAATTCTGACTTCAGTTGGCCCCTTTTGAAAATATTGGCCAATTGCCCTCTCCTGTGGGGTGTCTGAACCCAAATAACTCACCAGCCACTGCAGTCTACTGTGTCCACTGCTCTGTTGTGCTGGTGCATATCTATGTGGAGGCCTCTGGGGTTGCCAGTAGTCATCATGCCTCTGCAGGCTCAAGCTGCCCCTCCTACACTGCCAGCTAGGGCTCAGGGAAAAAGCACTGCTTGCCACCTCCCTCTTCTGTGTTGTGGTCCCTCTCTTCACTCTCTCTGTGAATTCTAATTCCACTTCAGATCCTGGCTGTGTCCCAGGGACTCACTTTCCTTCTCCTTGTCTTTTTCACATTGCTCTATTCCAGCATTTGAATTCCAAATATCAGAGAGGCTGTTTCTCTGCTTCTTACCATTCTGCCACCTTCCCAGAAGTCTCAGTAGTGGTCCTTTCTGAGTGGTACAATTATAGGCGATTCATTGCCAGATGGGGAAGTGGCTGTGGTCTTCATTGCAAGATAGGTGTCCCAGGCCAGTACAGACTGGTATGGCCAGCCTTCTGTCTACTCCCTGAACTGCTGCCCAGCCACTTGGAGGCCTAGAAGACTGACACCAGGCTGGAGTGGAGGGCTTCCATTTTGGTTCACTCCTCAGGAGAGAAGGGAGGAGGGAAAGTAATAGTGACCTGTCTAGAGATGAGTCAGTTTTCTGATCAGTAGCAGTGGGAGGTCTAGCCTGCCATAGGCCAGAGACTACAAACCTCCACACAAAAATGATTAATTATCCCATTTCCAGTTTCCCCCAAGGATACTTCCTGGTGATGCTTATGGCTGCAGCATTTATTTTGTTAAGAAATGTTAATTTTGTTTAGAAATAACTCCAAGCATAGTTTTATGTTTTACTTTCATATTGAAAACCAGTCAGATTTGCTTCAGCCTCAGAGAGTGTGTTTATATAAAATTAAATGAATGCTGACAGAAAGCTGCATTTTTTTTTCTAAATGGGAAATGGATGAGAAGATGGGCAGCGCCAGTTAGGAGGTGAGTGAAGGTCACTACTGAGCACTTAGAGCACTAGGAGAGCTGGGCTGGGCTGAGGTATAGGCCAGAAAGCCCACCACCCAGGAAAGGGACTCTGCCTTTGGGGGTCCATGCATCTTTTAACAGGGATTTTTGGAACACTGATAACACTCTTCTGAGTTGCCAGCCCACCTGTCAGCCCCATGAGGACAAATAATACAGGAAAGGTATGTTAGAAGCTCAGCACAGTGTGCCTGATCATTTGGACTGTTCTCACTATCTCTCACCTCTCTCCATCCCTGGAGTATGCTGAGGAAGGCTGTATGGCTCAGAGCTGTCTGGCCACCTGTGATAACAAGAGTGACTCAAAAGAACTCACTGTGTGCAGCTGCCAGTGTCTGCACATACAGAAAGAACATACAGGGGAAGTTCCAGAAGACTGAAATGACAAAATGAAGAACAGAGAACCTCAGATTTCATTGAGTGATTGTAAGAGAAAAGGAATAAGTAGCAGAAGCTTTCCCTATGGACAATGAAAGCATATCAGACAAACATTCCAACATGGATGAAACTATGACAGGTTATTTCAAATGAAACTAAAAGTCGAGCAAAAAATTATGTAAGACATAAAAGAATCAGAATAAGAAAAATGCATAAGGAGCCCTGAGCTCCAAGACCTGGTGAGCCTGAGTCCCAACTCAAGTCAAATAAAGACAGCCTTGCAAAAACTCTCTCACCAGCTTCAACTCACAAGCTATCTTATAGAACTTCATCTGCCTCCTCTGGCTGGGGAATTTGTGTGTCAGACCATTTCTAAATGGGGAGCCTAGCC